TAGGGAAGGAATGAAGATAATTATGAAGTCCACTTTGTGAAAAGTCAGAATGTACTGGCATATGGAGTTAAAAAAAATTCTTTCCAACCTAAGGTCCTAATCCTGTATACAGAACTGCAGTGCTGGATCCTTGTGTTCAGGCTGAGCTGTGCCAAAGTTGGTGAGACTCTTATTTGACATCCCAAGGCTAAGTACATTCATTCAAAAAGCCTGAACCTGAATTGATTCAATCTTTGTAGGTTAGTCTAACCTGGATCGATTGAACTGATTTGCAAGTGGTTAGACATTCACTTTGTATTCAGGAAATGCAGGCACATGCCTGCAGTGGCTCAGGCTAGAAGCTAGGGAGTACTAAAGCAAGCCCTCCCTTCCCTTCCCTTCCCTTCCCTTCCCTTTCATAGGACTGACTTCTCATTCAACCTTAGTCATTTGGGCTGAGAAGTCAAAAGTGGCTAGACATGCTAGCCACATGACTTTCTTATGAGCCACTGGGGACAGAAATTGGTCAGCCTTAGTCCTAAGGTCTGCTAGGATCAGGAGTACCTTTGACCTAATAAGAACAGAAATTACAGAGCATGGGTATGAGCTATGGCCATCCATGGACAAGGTTTTCTGGGTTGCTGCAGGTGGACAACCCCCCAAACTAACACTATGGAGAGGAATATATCAGAACTGTAGGGACTCACAGATCTCACATAGAAAGTTCCTGTGACCCTCATACCTCTCATCTTCCCAGAGAGTCCGTCTTCCCACCAGGTTATTTGGGCTGGACAGAAAGGTAGAGTTACTTCCATTTTAGGACTGTAGAACTCTAAAGGATTAAAATTTGAGAATTTTTTCTGCTGAAACTAGAACATACATGTGTGTGAAAAACCCTGGTTTCAATTGATAAATGTTTTCCACTGAAAAAAAAAAAATCATAAAAAACAGGTAAATTTTCAATTATCTCTAGGCAGACAAGGTTCTTTGGGTAAATCTGATATCTTTTATTAGACCAACTCAATTATCTCTAGTGTTTTTCTAGAACAGTGAT